AGGATGCAGGTGGCGGGACCGCAGTGCATCTGGGCGTCCTGCTGCTTGCGTCCTCTGGGGCGAGAAAAGCCCTGTTTGTAACTGCGGATCCGACATAAGTCAGATGCGCGTAACACGGGGACTGCCTGTATTTCAAGTGACAGCAAAGTGAATTTTGACTGTGGTGCACACTTCACTGCTCTCAAACTTTTTTAATGGCTATCCTTAGCACCCTAATTTTACTACCATATGCTAGCCTGAAAGAGAAGAATTAGAGGTCCTAGCTGTGAATCAGTTTATATATCATGCGTATCATGGTATGAGTTAATCATTTATACCATTTGTCCATCTCCTTCATTCCTCTTTCCTTCCTGTCCTGACAATCCTCTGTGTGCAGAAATGCATGTATGTCTGGGATTTTAATGACTGAAAGAATATTAACAGTTGAGCAGCATGCTGATTGACCAACTACCAAGGCCTTAAGAAAAACAGTTCAAGCTTTCTTCTAATGCATAATCCTGCTGTAACCTGTGTTTAATAAAAGTAACTGAGGAACAAGAAAGGTTTCCTTTCCACATACTCTTAAAAGTAATTTAACATGGCAGCTGAAATGAAATTTAAAGACTTATCCTGAGGGAAAAATTATAATAGGACACCATGACCAGTACAACATGTGAAGAGAGATAAGATGTTAATTAAGAAGTAATTTTATACTTAGTGGTGTTAAGTATGGCCAGCAATAAACACTAAATAGAAACAATGTAGTATTCCTTAGCGATGTAGTCAGTCATTCCATTATACCGGATAAACTCCTATTTTGTAATTTCCTCATAAAAATTATGAAATTTTTTCAAGAGAATTCTGTTCCCTGGCAGTAGCATGAAGCACAGAAGGGGAGGAAAGGTAAAAGATAGGACCAGTTGATATAGAAGCATTACAGTGCCCAATGTACTAAGCAGAGCAGGTTGCAGGAACTCCACAGCAGGTCTTCATTAGTCTACTCACGTTTAGAGGGGAAAATCTGATATCATGGAAGAGCAGTTTTGCAAATGCGGAGCATTCAGAAATAATGAGTCCACCCAAAAGACTATGTGATTGGCTTAGAATACACATGAACTAAAATATTAAAACTGGGGGTTTTATTTGCCCCTAAGTTGAGATTTTCAGGATCCGTATTTTCAGGTTTTTCTCTGTAATACTGACACATACAAACTCATTTATATGCCCATTGGGGATGTTAAAGGTTAACTGGTTAGCCTCACAATTAACGGGTGAGACTTACCGATTACGGTTAACCCATGCAGACTGGAGCTGCTTCAGCCGTAAGGGGCCCACCACGGGTGGGGTGTAATCCAGCCCTACCGGAGCAGCCTCTATTCGGGCAAGCCACTCATCACATTTCATTGATTAACTGGTAAACAAGATGTTTAACAGTTAACTAATTAAACAGTATTTTACATCCCTAATGCCCACCTCCTTTAATTTGAAAATTTTCTCAAGTATTTAAACTTTTAGTTAT